ACCAAATTCAATCATACATGTTAAATCACCACCTATTTAACAATCAGCCGTTTTTTTTGACTTTATTGCTTCCAAATTCACACGCATGTTTTCAAAAAATAGATTTTTATATTTCCAAAATTTTGTGTTACATGCTTCCAAATACACTTAAATTCCTAATACAACCAGGATTACACTTTCTAATTATCATCAAACAACTACTATATAAATATTTGGAACTCATTACTAATGTTTTTATAACTTTTTACAATCTTCTTATAAAATGGAGGATGATAATGAAAATTATCTATATAATATTCGTCTGCCCCACTATCTGTATCTCAGGTTTTCTTTGTGATGTGATTCATTAAGTTTGTCGTATACAATATTCGTTAATATTTTGATGATCATATATATACTTTTTCATTCATCTTTATATTGAATAATATTGTTTTTATTCTATTATCATATAACTACAATATGACAGTATCTAGAATGTTTTTAATTGAGATGTTTTTTTCATCTCAAATCAAACCAAATCAAATTTCAATAGTTGTATAACACAAATAGAAAAAAAACGCACATAAACATACATATCTAATAGGGCAGACCAGTTCAAATAGACTAGACCAAACTTAAATAGAACAAATAAGATAAGATTATACCAGATTAGACTAGACTAGTAAATTTTAATTCAATTAAAAACATCCTTATTTGTATTATAATAACTAAAATTAATGTCACCCAATAATTAATTTTTGTCAAACTAATAAGTACACTTCAAATTGTCTTTTTTATAAATTAACGACTCCTGCATTATAATTTAGAATGTTAGTTTAATATATTTTTTATTTATCCAAAATTTTAAATATAAATAGGCATAATTAATTTTTTGATCATTTTTAAACTTGTATAGTGTAATTGATATTTTCGGTTGAACTCGTTTCAGTCTCATCTTATGAATGTTTAGATTTTTCGGGGTTATTCAAAAAAATGTGCTTTGAAGCTCGACAAATCATATTTTGCTTGTAATACATGTATCTCATTTTTTCTGCTTTTTCAAAAATATGATATCTGTAGGATGACAGTGACGTGTATGTCAGTCTTACTCATGATGATAGCTCGATTTTTGTCAAAGAAGAAGTAAAGTTTGAACCTCCAATTGTTGAAGAAGCACAACCATTCACTTCACATGACTTTTCAGAAGACTTTCGAACTCATAAAACTTGGGCGGATCGGGAGTCTATGATTGATTGGGCTAGAGTTGAGGCCCATAAGAGAAATATGGTCTTAACTATTGCAAAATCGAGGCCAAGTAATTCTAAAAAGCTTGGTAATGTCCTTCTCGCATGTGAAAAATTTGGGAAGTATCGAGCTGCAAAAAAAGTCAATGCTCCAGGGGTGCAACAAGATAAAGGAAAGAAAGCTACAAGAACAAAAAAAAGTGATTGCCCTTTTGCATTATATGGGAGTGAAGTGAAACAGAATTTATGGCGATTGCAGGTTAATTGTGGATTTCACAATAATGTTATTCCAACGAGCTTAGTGGGGCACGCATTTGCTGGTAAATTGACAAAGCAAGAGATTTCTTTGGTGAGAGACTTATCCGAGGCGGGATGCAAGCCTAAGCCAATTCTCCAAAGTTTAAAAATTGCGAACTCTGAAAATGTTACATCCAGAAAGCAGGTGTACAACGCAAGACGCAAGCTTAAGAAGGAATGGATGGATGGACGCACCGTCATGCAACAATTACTTCATTTGATTTCAAAGTATGATTACTTTGAGGCCAATAGATTAGTGCCAGGGAGTGAAGATTTACATGACATGATATTCGCGCATCGAGATTCACTAAAATTATTGCGACTTTTTCCTTATGTTCTCATCATGGACACAACATACAAGACAAACAGGTAAAATTAAATATTTGAAAACATACGTACTTTTTCATTCCATTCTTACCACTCCTTTAAATAGGAGTAGAAAGTAGTCAAGATTCATAATTAAATATTTTAATTCATACTAAAATAAAACAAAAATAATAAAAATCGTAGGAAAAAATTAATAATTAATAAAAATATTTGTAATTTTGTATGATTTTTTAAATTTTTTGTTAATATTTTTATTAATTTTTTATGATTTTTATAATTTAATATGATTTTACTATGCATTAAAACATTCAAATAGTTATAAGGGTATACTTATCGAAATACACATAATTAGTCCTACTAGTGAGTTAAAAACAATGTAGCCCTGATTGTGATTATTGATTACTTTTTACTCCTATTTAGGTAATTAACCCTTATGACTATTCATTCAAGCAAATAATATAAATTGCATGTAATATACTTGATTAATTATAACAGGTACAAGATGCCTTTTCTGGAAATAGTGGGATTCACAAGTACGTTGAAGACATTCTCTGTTGCATTTGCGTGGATGGGAGCTGAAAGCGCAGAGCACTACATTTGGGTTTTAAATGAGTTAAAGTTAATATGTCCTTGTTCCCCATTAGCGATTGTGACTGACCGAGAGTTAGGTTTGATAAAAGCACTCAGTGAAGTCTTCCCAGAATCTAAGCATATATTGTGCCTGGTACATGTCAAGCGTAACATAGAAGATAAAGCTTTAAAATTGAGCAACATGAAGACGATCCAACTATCCTTTTCAAAAGGATGCATGAAGCTATTTAGTTCAACCACTGTCGATCAATATGAGGAGCAATTAAAATATATGAGATCGAAATGGAAGAACAGTTGGGGCCTTATGAGATATCTTACTGAATATTGGTTGGACACGTACAAAGATCGTTTAGTGAGAGTGTGGACGGACCATGTTACACATTTTGGCACAAGGACTACTAACAGGTAAATTAAATAAATATATTTATAAAAAATTATGAACATTTTTTTTTATTTTATTTCATTAACTTTGTGCCGCAGGGTGGAATCTGCACATGCAACGCTAAAGCTACAATTAGGCTCATCCATTAAGGGGTTTGACAATGTTTTTGCTGAGATAAATAACTTGCTGAATGATCAATTGGATGAAGTGAGGCGATCTTTAGAATTGTCACGTTGCACCATTCCAACGGTATTGGATAAGATTCCAATACTTAGCCAGCTTCAACACATGGTGTCAAATGAGTGCATGAATAAGTTAATAAGGATGCATGATGAGGTCATAGCAGGAAATTATGATCCAATATGCAATGACTATTGGTGGAGGGAATGTTATGGTTTACCATGTCCACACGAGCTAGCAACTTGTATTCACGATAATCGTCCACTACATCCATCAATGGTACATGAGTTTTGGAGAAGAGTTGAATGGCATGTAAATAAGGAACAAGACAATGACAAGGCCAATGATATAAGTGTAGATGATGTGGTCCTAAAAACCATAGTTGATGAGTTTCAATCAGGTCGTATGACAACACAAAAAAAAAAGACTTGTTGCAAAATGGAATGAGATGAGGAATCCAAAACTTAATACTATGAAAGAGCCACCGATTCATGAAACGAAGGGAAGACCCAAAAAAAAATCAACCACTCGAGACCCAAGTGCATGGGAGTACACTGAGAAAAAATACAAAAAATCCAAGGGTACAATATCACATCATGGGTCTCGTGGATGTGGCAAGGATATTAAAAGGAAATCTCACACACGTCAAAATCGAATGCAATTTAATTTCGGTAATGATGTTGAGACATTCATGCTTAAGCATATTAGTAAAGTTGTGGACGTTATTGGAGATGGACATTGCGGATATCGCTCATTTGCAGAGCTTTTAGGATGGGGAGAAAAAGAATGGGTTAGAGTTCGAAGGGAGTTAGTGGAAGAACTCGATCGTCATCGTGAGCTATATAATCCTATATGCCTTCTTGACACTATTGATGAATTGCGGGAGCAAATAGACTACTACATCAGTCCCGCACCACCCCGGTATTGGATACACATGTCGCACACAGGATTGATCTTTGCAACGTTATACCAGGTTATTTTAGTGCACCTTGACCTCCACGAACCAGTCACTTGTTTGCCCATGATCGCTCCCCCGTGTAGTAGTCCTCCAAAGACAATTGTTTGCATTGCTCGGCTTGATTCCCAACAACACTACATAGCTGTAAGCAAACAATATTTTATAGTTTCATTTTGTTTTCACATTACCTTTTTTATATTCATATTACCATATGATTTGCATAAAATGAAAACTTTTGTTGATACACAGGTTTGGCTTGACGACAATGCTCCGTTGCCACCAGTCATTACGACATGGTCTTACTATCACGACGCTAGTGTTACAGGATGGGATACTCCACTTCTTCATTGAATTAAACAGTTTATAGAATGTCGTAATGTTATAAGAGACCCTGTTCCAATTGTATTGGATTATTGATATAAACCTTATATATTATAAAAACACAAATGTTTTGTTTTTTACTTTGCACAATTCTATATTAGATTTTTTTGGGAGTTCTATAGTAGATTATAGATTTGAATAAGTAACATTTTTAATTCTAGTAAACTAATTATCTTCATTTTTTGTTTGACTAATTTCAAAGGTGGAGGACCCCGCCTTTTAAAACTCCATCACACCATGTTACATGACTAGATTTATGATGTGCGTGATATTTAGGATGTTTTTAATTGAACTGATTTCGAACCACATAGATTCAAACAAATAGGATCAGATCTGACTAGACTTGACCAGATTTTTTTAAAAAAATTACATATATAATATGGGTGTCATATGAAAGATCATAAAAAGATATTTAATTTGGTATAATTTTTATAAAAATCAGAGCAAAAATGAAAAAGTTGTGACATTTAAAAAAAAAAAAATTGCCACATGGCACCATTTTATTGGATGTTCATTTAATGTAAAATTTTAGCACATGATAGAACCCATCAGCCGAGCATGGAGACCTTAGGGTGCGGGGAGCATTTTTTTATTTACATTTAATTATAATAACTTTAATTAATAATTAAGAAGGTCAAATTTGTCCGTTGGTTACGTTAAGCAATTATGGGGGTGTAGGAAGCAACACCGGGTTATTTGTTAGTCTAGGAACTGCTTTTTTGTTAGTCCTAGTAAAACTAAGGAAAAGAATTCAAGAAGAAGTAAGCATGTCTCCTAAATTCAAAGGAGAGAAGGTGATAGAAAAAGCTCATAAACGACGTCTAATTCTACTATGCGTGTTGATCCGGGTATGGTTAAAAGCCTAAAAAAGATTGCTCGTTAAATACCTGATACTCTTACAAGCGAACTCTGCTCGTTTTGTCCGATAAATTGAATTTACGATAGTTGCAAACAGAACGGTGAGTTTATGGTGATCTTTTGATGCTCAATACGTTTGGGTAACGATGTTGGCCGTATAGTTTTATTAATCATCACTCTTAATAGTTGATTTGATTTTGCACACACGTATTGACATTCTATGTAGCACTATGATTGGGAGCAGTAGTGAAGATGATCAGTCATTAGAGAAACGACTTGGGAGGTGTTCTGTGGCCTTATATGGTGTAGGGCACATGCTCAATGACATTACATCTGCTTGTTGGTTCACATACCTTTTGGTCTTTTTGACAGATATTGGTTTATCTCCAAGGTTTGCCCCTCAATCTTTACCAATACTCGGTTATGCGGTAAATGATAACCATAAAAGGGTCATGCTCCAACATTAGAGATGGTAGAGAATTTTTTATGTAATTGTCAGGAAACATTCAATTTTGTAATGATTAATGATGTTTCTTGATGAATTATTTGTTGTTTGAAAGCAGAACAAGAATTTTTTTTTGATGATTCATTAGTTTATTTATTAAAAACAAAGATAATATTAGTGTTTCGTTAATGCTGAAACATCGTATGAGTGGATATGATTTCAAGTAATGAACAAGCACCAAGGAAGATCAACATAGTAATAAATTCATCAAAGGGAGTTTGTAAGGGTCTATAAAACCCTATATTTATCTTTCTAATTTCTAGTCTTGATGCATCGAATCTTTGGTTTGTAACATGCGAGTATTCATACTATTTAACAGGAAAGACAGACTAGATCCTATCATTCTATTTAAACCTAGAACCTTGCAAGGATAACTTTAATGTTTGATATGTGATACTTTTCTCCATCTTCTTACTCACAGCAAAGCTGCAATTGTCATGCTCTCAGGTCAGATAGCTGATGGATTGGGAACCATTTTTGCTGGTGAACTGGTACCTTTCATAAGCACTGCATCTAATTACTTCGTTGTTGGGAGTATAGATGTATGAGTCTTTATCTGGTTAAGCCATTCTACAATCTACACCAGCCAAATATAAAAGTACAAGCCACTGATAGGAGACTTCTGGGTACTCTTCTTATTTGGCTGATGTTTAGGATGAAACTCTAACTCTCAATACCCTCAAATTACACATATAGGAATTGCTTCTGTAATAGCTTAAAATCTATAGGTCAATGCCACTTAAATAAGATATACAAAACATTGAGTAGTTTCAGCTTTAGTGGATATTAGTAAGGCATTAAAGCAAAACCAACTTTCTTTTTTCCATCATTTGCAATGGAGCCAAAGACTCACTATTTTTTGGCTTGGCTATATGATGGAATAAAGCAAAATGACTCACTAAACTGTCTGCGCTCTTTGTTATGAAGCAGTAGTAAGTTCAAGGAACTTTCGACGCGATTTCACTATGGGTCATCCGGAAACAGTCTCTCTATGCTTTAGTACAGGGGTAAGACTGCGTACATCCGACCCCCCTCCCTACCCCACCGAAGGTGGGAGCCTTTGCGGCACTGGGGTAATGATGATGATGAAGGCATTAACTGATTAACATGATTGACTACTTCTGAATGGAGATGTTTGCTCTGTAAAGAAGCTTTATTGCATCAAATTAAAGGTCAAACGTGATAGAATTTTCAGGATTTATTGAGTTTTGCTGATTGCATTTTCTCTTATAATGATATCATTTTGCATGAGTTCACAAACTGTTATTCTGGATATGATGTTATTCATTTTTATTAACAGATTGATAGATTTGGACATTTCAAAGCATGGCATGCTACTGGATCTCTATTGGTTGCCATCTCATTTTCATCAGTATTTGGTGGTTGCTTGCCTTGCAAAATATTTGGTTCTAATTCATCTCTTTTGGAAACTATTGGGTATAGTGTGTTTGCTGCAATATTCAATATCGGCTGGGCTGCTGCTCAAGTATCACACATGTAACTTGGCCACTTTCCTTTCTCTCTCTATGTATTCATTATATACTTATCTTTTTTAAAGGGCTGTTGCTTGCCTGTTGCTCTTATTTTAATAGGAATATAGGATCCTTTGATATCTTTTTATTTGCATTTTCTCACATGATAAAAATGGTGACATATCATACACAGTGTTGGTAGTCTTAATGTGGTCTCCTGACGTGAAAAGAGAAATAGTCCATACATGTCTTGCACCATAGTATAGATATGTGCTTTAGGTGATATTTAAGATAACAAATTAACAATCAATTGTGGCTTGACAAGTACTACATCCATCCCAGGTTAAGTTTCTTATTGAAAAATGGCACGATTATTTAGACAATAATTAAATAAAGTAATTTGAGTATATTTTGAGAAGTAGTTTCGATAAGTATATAGTATAATGGGATCATTGATGATAGTTGTGATATTATAGGTGTATTATTTTTAATATTTTATGAGTAAGTTATCATTCAAGAGTGGTAATTATTTCCTAAAATAGAAATGAGAACATTTCCCTTACCCCCTACCATAGGTGGGAGCCTTTGCGGCACTGGGGTAATGATGATGATGAGAAATGAGAACATTTAGCTAGGATGTGCAAAAAAGGAAAGTGAGAACCTTAAGTTGGGACAGAGGGAGTATGTTAGATCACAGATAACTTTCAAAGCAGAAAAGTAAGAATTCAATAACAAGGTAGAAGATCAGATCGAAAGGTTTATTCTCCAACTGAACAGTTCACGGGGATACAGTGCTCAGGGACTATTCGAGACGCCCAATCTCCAAAAGCCAAGTTCACAACCAAATAACAGCCTACTGACAAACAGCTTCTATTATTCTATTTATTGTAAAAATATCCACGCAGGGATAAAGTATCATTTAATAGTTACTTAGCTATTTAACTAACTATCTTCCGGCTCCTCCTTTGATACACTTTATTAAAATACTGAGTGGGCTGCTGAGCTGGATGTCTATCATTACTTCCCCCCTGAAAATTCACCTTGTCCTCAAGGTGAAATTCTGGGAATTGCTCTCTCATCACTTGTACCAATTCCCAAGAATCTTCAAAACTTGGTAGCCCCTTCCAGTGTATCAGCACCTCAATTTTGCCCTCTTTATTCACTCTGGAATCCATCATCTTCTCCGGTGTTACCTGCAATTCAAGGTCTTCACCCAAACACTTAGGTAAAGGCTGGTAGGACGTGTTTGGTGATAGCACCTTCTTCAGTAGGGAAACATGAAAAACAGGGTGTACTTTACTGTCTTCTGGCAGCTTTAACTTGAATGCTACTGGACTTATCTTGTCAATAATCTCAAAAGGCCCATAGAACCTAGGGCTCAACTTTTGGTTTATTCTTTTGGCCAAACTTTTGAGTTTATAAGGCTGAATTTTCAAATAGACCTGATGCCCAATGTTCAATTTTACCTCTCTTCTATGTTTGTTAGCTTGTTGTTTCATCTGGTTCTGAGCAATCTCTAGGCTCTTCTTCAATTCCTCCAACATAATATTCCTTTGGGCTTTTAATCTGGACACTTCCTCTACAGCAGTAAGTGTTACATCTCCTCTGATGATGGCAGGAGGGTCTTGCCCAAATAAAGCCCTGTAAGGAGTTAGTTTGTATTGTACCAAAACTCTGCCCAATGCAACCATTGACTCCACTGTTTTGGTTTTCTACCAGTGATGCACCTTAAATAGGTCTCTAGGCACCTGTTAACCACCTCAGTCTGCCCATCAGTCTGGGGGTGGTATGTTGTACTGTACTTCAACTGAGTTCCTGCCAACTTGAATAATTCTGACCAAAAAGAGCTCATGAACATACTGTCTCTGTCACTTACAATAGTTTTAGGAAAACCATGTAATTTGACCACCTCCTTTGTGAACAATTCAGCTACTTCTTTTGCATTATAGGGGTGAGAGAGGGCCAAAAAATGGGCAAATTTAGTTAATCTGTCAACAATAACCAAGATAGTATCCTTCCCATGAGATTTAGGCAATCCCCCTATGAAATCCATGCTGATATCTGTCCATATGTTGCTAGGAATTGGTAGGGGCTGTAGCAACCCTGCTGGCTTAAGGGCCTGGTATTTGTTGGTTTGGCAGGTAGCACATCCTTCCACATACTTCTTGATGTCAGTCCTCATACCATGCCAATAGAACAAATTGGAGATTCTTTTCATAGTCCTAAAATACCCTGAGTGACCTCCCACTGCAGATTCATGATAGTCCCTCATAATCTTTAATACCCTTGAGGACTCCCTTGGCAACACCAACTTCTTTCTGTAATACAATAACCCCTTTATAATCTGGAAATCAGGGTACTCATCTGGGTGTGATATGACCTTCTGAATCAGGTCCTTGCATTTGCAATCTGAATTCAATTCCTCTTCTAACCCTTCCCACTCTTGGCAGGTGACAATGGATAAGGATTGTAGTGTCAACTTTCTGGATAAGGCATCTGCAGCCCTATTCTCCTTCCCAGGTTTGTATTTGATGATAAAGTTGTATCCCAGCAATTTTGAAGTCCATTTCTGTTGTTCTTCCCCCATCACTCTCTGTTCAGTCAAGAACTTTAAGCTCCTTTGATCAGTATGGATTTCAAAAACTCTGCCAAGTAAGTAAGGTCTCCATTTCTGTACTGCCAAAACAATAGCCATGAGCTCTCTTTCATAAACAGATCTATTCTGATTCCTTTTTGACAATTCCTTGCTCATGTATGAAATTGGTTTTCCTTCTTGCATTAGGACTGCCCCCAGACCTGTCCCAGATGCATCTGTTTCTAAAATGAACATTTTATTAAAGTCAGGTGTAGCTAACACAGGTACTGAAGTCAAAGCTCTCTTTAATTGTTCAAATGCCTGAGTAGCCTTGTCACCCCAACAAAAACTGTCTTTTTTCAGAAGTTGTGTAAGAGGTAAGGCAATTTGACTGTACCCTTTTACAAACCTTCTGTAGTAGCCTATTAACCCTAAGAAACCTCTCAGTCCCTTCAAATCTCTAGGTTCAGGCCAGCTAATCATGGCTTCAATTTTGGCAGGATCTGCTGACACTCCTTTTCCAGAAATGATGTGCCCCAAATATACCAACTGTGACTGCCCAAAAGAGCATTTTTTTAGATTGACCACCAACTCATTCTCTTTTAATGCTCTGAAAACATTTCTCAGATGCTCCTGATGTTCTTCTTCAGTCTTACTATATACCAGGATGTCATCGAAAAATACCAAGGCAAACTGTCTTAAGAATGGCCTTAACACCTGATTCATGAGAGCCTGGAAGGTGGAGGGGGCATTGGTAAGCCCAAAAGGCATAACTAGGTATTCGTAGTGCCCCTCATGTGTTCGGAAAGCTGTCTTTTGAATATCAGATTCCTTCATCCGGATCTGATGGTAACCAGACTTTAGGTCTAACTTGGAAAATATAGTAGCTCCTCCTAGCTCATCCAATAACTCCTCAATTATAGGTATAGGGAATTTTTCTGGTATAGTTATCTTATTCAACGCCCTGTAATCACCGCAAAACCTCCAGCCCCCATCTTTTTTCTTAGCTAACAAAATGGGACTACTGTAAGGGCTGTTACTGTGCTGTATAATTCCAGAACTCAGCATCTCTTTAATGATCTTTTCAATCTCTGTCTTCTGACACTGTGGGTACCTGTAGGGTCTAATGTTGGGGATCTCAGCTCCTTCTTTAATGTTGATGGCATGGTTGCAAGCTCGGTTTGGAGGTAAACCCTGTATGGGTCTGGAAACTTCTGGAAACTCAGCCACAATATCCTTCCAGATCTGATCCATCGCCTTTTCTCCTTCCAAAGGCACTGAACTCCCTTCAGGATATACAATAAATCCATCCCCAGTATCCTGTATTATCTGTGACATTGTTTTCAAGGAAACCTCTATAGAATTTAGTTGGGGGTCTCCTTGTATGCTTTGATCCAACCCCTCAATTTTCCATTTAATGCTTTGTTTCTGGAAATTTATCTCCACATCTCCCAAGCTGGTTAACCACTCCATTCCCAGTACTAAATCAGTCCCTTCCAAATTCAGAATATAAAATTTCTGCTTTACATCAGTCCCTTGCATAGATAAAATCAGATCTTCACATCTACCATTGTTGGTAATCTTCTCCCCATTCCCAATTTGGACTTTGTATCCTGAAACAATGGTATGAGGCAGTTTCAAGAGCTCTACCAGATCTTGTGATATGAAATTATGAGTGGCCCCACTATCAATCAAAACTTCCACTTCCTTTTCACCCTTGCTCCATCTTAGACATCCTTGAACCTTAAAAGCTCTCATAGAAGGAATACCTTCCTTACTCATGAGAGACAATTGCATAGATTTAGATTCCATAACTTGCTCTTCTTCTTCTGAAATTTCAACCCCAATTCCTTCTTCTTCTTCCTCTTTATCTGAGTCTTCTACCAGTATTAATTTGTAGTTTTTTAGTTTACAAGTGTGTTCTTTGTTCCACTTCTCTCCACACTTGAAACACAGGCCTTTTCTGCTCCTTTCCTGATACTCATCCTGAGACAACTGAGGACCCACCCTTCTGATTCCTGAGGGATGAATCTCTGTAACAAGGTAGAAGATCAGATCGAAAGGTTTATTCTCCAACTGAACGGTTCACGGGGATACAGTGCTCAGGGACTATTCGAGACGCCCAATCTCCAAAAGCCAAGTTCACAACCAAATAACAGCCTACTGACAAACAGCTTCTATTATTCTATTTATAGTAAAAATATCCACGCAGGGATAAAGTATCATTTAATAGTTACTTAGCTATTTAACTAACTATCTTCCGGCTCCTCCTTTGATACACTTTATTAAAATACTGAGTGGGCTGCTGAGCTGGATGTCTATCAGAGTACTAGTTTTTATCTTCCGCCAGCTTTTTAGCATTTCCCTTCCAAATAAATGTTACACAATTGCACAAATAATTGTTAATATTATCTCTAAACTGGGTTACTTAAAAATGATTTATCTTGCTGCAGGTCAATGGTGAATTGCATCACTTTGAATTCAACAAGCAGAGTCGTGTTAGCTAGCTGTCGCAATGCCTTTACAATGGTATGCAATTTCCAGATAGTTAACATTTAATATTGCTTTTACTGTTGAAATATGCTAATAGATTTGCATTTTTCTATAAAGGTTGCAAACCTTAGCTTGTATGGAGTTGCTTTTATTGTATTCAACATGAACACCTCAAGGAAAGTAGCTGCTATTGAGAATCAGGTATTCGTAGTTACTCCTTTTTTAGTTATTTTAGTGGACATGCTCTAATGTTGGGAGTATAAGCAGTACCGCTGGATAGCGTATATCTCAATTTTCATTGGATGTTGCTTTGTCGGCATGTTTCTTCTTGGAACTAAAGAACCAAGGTTTGTCAACTGCCTTAATTTTTGTCCATCACTCAAGAGATCACTGATATCTTATGTAGTATTACCCTTTGCAATCATTTTCAGATTTTCTGATGCATTGTTAAACAAACTCATGTTTTATTATGACTTGTAGGGATAGAGAATAGAAATCAATTTAATGTGATGCGAGGAAATGAAATAGGAAAAAAGTATTTCCCCCTTTAATATTATTCTACAATTTTGGGAATAATGTTTCTGATAGTAATTCAATCTACGCAATTATTCATCCCAACTTTGTGTGCTTATCTTTAGGGGCAAAATCGTAAATTTCATTGCCCTCACTCCTACGATTCATTTTTTTCCTTCAGATTGAAACAAAAAGCTCATGTTAATGGCTATGTTAGAATTTGTTGGAGTTATTGGTTTAAGAAAATTCTGTATCACCAAGTTGCTCTTGTTTATGTGCTAACAAGACTTGTTACTAATGTTTCACAGGTCAGTGTATAAATTTATGGTTTTATCTTTTAAATACATCATTATTTCTGTGCACATACAGTGTTTTAGATTCATTTATATTTAAACATCTTTGTTGTCCCAGTCATTTCTAGCTTTCTATGTTACCGATGATCTACAAATGAGCCACTCTGCAAAAGCTTTGGTATTCTAGAACCACCTTATGTACAATTAATAGATATCTTCTTTTCGGAATATGATTTTCCTAGAACAGGTGCTATGCAGCTGTACTTTAATTCGCATTATTATATTGATAGGTCCCTGCCATCATCTACATTTGGAGCTTCATTGTTTCTGTCGTGCTACAGGTTCCTTATTATTTAGTACTCCTGGAGTATTTTCTTCTTCTTTAGGGTATGTTTTGGATCCTGGAAAGTGCTAGGGATTGGAAAACAAATGTTAAGGAAAGCTATTTTCTTATTTTTTATTTTCCTTTGTAAAATAAAAAACGGACAGCAATATACTACCTCCGTCCCATTAGAAGGTTCCCGTCCACTATTCTCATGGTCAACTTAAATCATTTTTAATCCTTTACTTTATAAATCAAATTTTTTATCAAATTTACATTTTTTATCAGGCTTTGTAGCAGTTTTAATGTAGTTTCTGAATATGTTAGTTTTATTTACTAAAAATAATCAGAGTGTGAGCAGGGATTAAGTTGCTTTATCGTCAGTCAAGCATCGTAAACCGTTCACGGGAACCTTCTAGCGGGACGGAGGGAGTATCATTATTCTTAAAAATCTTTTTAGATTTTTTAGTTTTTATATAACAGAAAAAAGTTTGAAAAATATTCTGATATAAATCAACTGAGTTTTTGCTTAGCTGTTGTTTTCCCGAAGTTTTCTTTCTCTGAAATTTTACTCTATAATTTCCTTTGTAGTCCTTTCCAGGATCCAAACAAACCCTTAAACTTTTATGAAATTCTCCTCCCACCCTCCTCTCACCTTTTTTATCTTCCTAACCACATATTCTTAATGTAGGAGCTAACCTGGACTAGCCAACGGATAAAAGCCTTTTATAGTGTAGGAGGCCTCCTTTGGATATTTAGTGGCATAGGAATACTGTTGCTCCCAAGAAATATGAATGCCATTATGTACATCTTGTCAGTCGTGATTGGTGTTGCGAATGCCCTGATGATGGTATGTATGTGTGTATCATGTTCTGATTGTTCTGCGCTACTTCTAGACTGTTCTATCCGGTGCTGTTAAAATTGACCTAGATACCCCCTAGGCTGAAGCGAAAACTCATACTTTGTTCTTATTTAGGTGAAGACATGTAGGCGCTCGTCGTGCTCTCCTAGGCGAGTAGGCGCCTTCAACTAGCACTTTGATAGTGATCTTCACTTTTTATTTTGTTAGTTAGAAAATATAGCAGACCTATGTTACAATTATAGTAATAATATTTGCATGCATTAATGTATATTTTTAAGAGATAATACTTGACTTCATGCATCGAATGCATACTACTTATCAATTTGGCCCTCAACTTTTCCTGGACTCATTTTGGTTATTGACCATGCATAGGACTAGAAGGGAACATCTGGTGACCATGCATAGAACACTTTAATGAACATAAAGCTGTAGTGTTTTAGAGCTTGGTATTGAATGGATAAGAAAGCTCATATGGTCAAAGTTTGTGTATAGTTATTAAGTGTTCATTTAGCTGTTAAGAGCGCGCGAACAAGATCTCGTCCAAGGTCGAGAACGGGAGAATGAAAGCGAACTAGGGCAAAGAGAGATCAATTTTCGTATCTATTATGAGCACCAGAAAAGAAACGAAAATAATAATGCTTTATTGGAATTAATTTGGTGTCTGACCTAGTCAAGACCCACCAGAATTAATTCTCCCCCCAAAACCTCCATTAATCAATACTAGGGTCCTTTATATAGCTACCAACAGACCTCTAATTCTAAGGGAAAATGGAAACTAATAATCCAACCTTTTAGCGGTCTTCTTACAATAGTCCCACCTTTTGATTATTCATGAATAATCCAACCTTTGCACCCCATCTTCATTCATTGGTCCCTGGCCGATTTATGACCTGTTATTCCAAGTTATTTTCTTATCTTTGCAAAACATTATGTGATCATAAGGTGGGAATTATGGTATAATGTTTTACAAAGATAAGAAAATAACTTGGAATAACAGGTCATAAATCGGTCAGGGACCAGTGAATGAAGATGGGGTGCAAAGGTTGGATTATTCATGAATAATAAAAAGGTAGGACTATTGTAAGAAAACCGCTAAAAGGTTGGATTATTAGTTTCCATTTTCCCTAATTGTAATAGGACATGATGATAATAGGAAACTGCCTAAACCTGAAATAGGAAACTGCCTAAAACTGGAATAGGAAATGATAGGAAATCAGACCTGCGAACAATAATCTAGCAGCAGAATTGGAGAAAAAGGGACAATGAACAGTAATGGAGGAAGATCGTATAACAAACAAGAGAGAGAAATAGTGTCTGGCAGTTTTAAGAGATGCCTCTCTCCAAGTCCCAGCCCAATACAAGCCAATACCAGCCTGCCAATTATTACAAGGACCTAGCTATTTATAGTAATATTCCCCCCATCCGATAACTAGTAACATATAGCTACTTATTATGACCCTTATTCCTCCTTGAGTATACATGATCAAAATACTTAATATTATTATCAAAATAGGACTGGCTCCCAGCATCCCTATCATCACTCCCCCCTGGAACAACCACCTTGTCCCCAAGGTGGAGATCAGGGTACTGCTTCAGTAGCTACTTGAGATTCTCCCAAGAGTCTTCAAAGTCTGGCAAGTGTTCCCAGTGTACCAGCACCTCAATTTCTCCTGCATCATTTACCCTGCTTTCCTTCACTTCTTCTGGCTTCACCTTCAACTCCCAGTCTTCAGTTATACATTTAGGTAAGGGCTGTATGGTAGAAGTGGTAGGAACTGCCTTCTTCAACAGGGACACATGAAACACCGGATGAACTCTACAGCCATCTGGCAGGTTCAATCTGTAGGCCACAGGGCTGATTTGCTCACTGATTTCAAACGGGCCATAGAATCTAGGGCTTAACTTCTGATCCACTCTCCTAGCCAGTGTCTTCAGCTTGTATGGTTGTATCTTCAAATATACCCATTCACCTGCCTTGAACTGAACCTCCCTCCTCTTCAAGTCAGCCTGCTGTTTCATTTGATTTTGGGCCAGAGCCAAGTTATTCTTTAATTCAGTTATTATTTCATTCCTTGCTGCTGTCAACCTGTTAACTTCCTCCACAGCTGATGAAGTGACATCACCCCTGACCAAAACTGGTGGATCTTGGCCATATAAAGCTTTATATGGGGTGTTTTTAGTGGACACATGGTAATTGGTGTTATACCAAAACTCTGCCCAGGGTAACCATTGAGGCCATTGCTTAGGCTTCCTCCCAGTCATACACCTCAGATAGGTCTCAACACACCTGTTGACCACCTCAGTCTGCCCATCAGTCTGGGGATGATAGGCAGTGCTGAACTTCAACTTGGTTCCAGCCAGCTTAAATAATTCAGTCCAAAAAACACTCAAGAAAACCTTGTCCCTATCTGAGACTATAGTTTTAGGGAACCCATGCAGTCTAACCACCTCTTGAATGAAGATTTCTGCCACACTCTTAGCACTATATGGGTGTGATAATGCTATAAAGTGTGCAAATTTAGTCAACCTGTCCACCACAACAAGAATGGTGTCTTTCCCTTGGGCTTTTGGCAGTCCTCCAATGAAATCCATACTCAGATCAGTCCAAATCTGAGTTGGAATGGGCAATGGCTGTAACAATCCGGCTGGACTCAGAGCTTGGTATTTATTTCTCTGGCATATTTCACACTGCTGCACAAACTGTTGGATATCAGCTCTCATCCCCTCCCAATAAAACAAAGATGATATCCTCTTCATAGTCTTGAAATTTCCAGCATGTCCCCCTATGGCAGACTCATGAAATTCCTTGAAGATGCTGTGAATCCTTGCTGAGTGTTTAGGAATTACCAATCTGCCCTTGAAATAGAGAAGTCCTTGTTTGAGGATGAAATTAGGAATGGAGTCTGGCTCAACCCCTAATTTCTGAATCATATACTTATATTTGCTATCCTCCATCAGCTCACACTCCAAACCTTCCCATTCTTGGCAGGTTACCACAGACAGGAAATACAGATTACCCTTTCTAGATAATGCATCCGCAGCCTTGTTTTGCACCCCAGGCTTGTACTTGATGACAAAGTTATACCCTAACAGTTTGGTCACCCATTTCTGCTGGTCCACCCCCAGAATTCTTTGCTCAGTCAAGAACCTTAGACTCTTCTGATCAGTGTGCACCTCAAAGGTCCTTCCCAATAGATATGGCCTCCATTTTTGAATAGCCAAAATTATAGCCATCAACTCCCTCTCATAAACAGACTTACTTTGATTTCTGAGAGATAGAGTTTTACTCATATAAGCCACAGGTCTGCCCTCCTGCATTAAGACAGCACCTACTCCTTTTCCTGAAGCATCAGACTCTATTACAAAAGTCTGATTAAAATCTGGAATTTTCAGCACTGGTAGTTGAGTCATTCTCCTTTTCAGATCTTCAAAAGCCTGCTGAGCCTCAGGGTTCCACTTGAACCCATCCTTCTTAAGCAAATCATTCAAAGGAGCTACAATCTTCCCATACCCTTTTACAAATTTTCTGTAATAACCAGTGAGACCCAGAAATCCCCTTAAACTTTTAGCATCTGTTGGGTACTGCCAGCTGATCATATCTTCAATCTTGCTAGGATCTGCTGCAACTCCCTCCTTTGATATAATGTGCCCCAAATACCCCAACTGCCTTTGCCCAAAAGAACACTTTTTCTCATTAAGCACTAACTGATTGGAGTGTATCAGCTGTAACACCTTCTGTATATGTTCCCAATGCTCTTCCTCTGTGTGGCTGTATATGAGTATGTCATCAAAGAACACCAATGTGAATTTCCTCAGGTAAGGCTTCAGTACTTGGTTCATTAAACTCTGGAAGGTAGAGGGGGCATTGGTAAGCCCAAAAGGCATGACCAAGTACTCATAGTGACCTTCATGAGTCCTTATAGCTGTCTTATGGATGTCCTCCTCTTTCATTCTAATTTGATGGTAACCAGACTTGAGGTCCAATTTAGAAAAGATCTGTGCATTGTTCAACTCATCCAATAACTCCTCTATAATGGGAATAGGGAACTTATTAGGGACTGTAATCTGGTTCAGGGCCCTGTAATCTCCACAGAATCTCCATCCTCCATCTTTCTTCTTTACCATCAAAACTGGACTACTGTAGGGGCTGGTGCTGGTTCTGATGATACCACCATTCAACAATTCCTGTATTACTTTCTCCATCTCATTCTTCAGGTATTGAGGGTATCTGTAGGGTCTAATGTTGGGTATATTGGCTCCTTCCTTAATCACAATAGTATGGTCACAATCTCTTCTAGGAGGTAGACCCTCCAAGGCTTTGAAAACTTCAAGACCTTCTGCTTTGATCCTCTGAATCCACCCCAAACTGACTTGGTTATCTTCATTTATTTTAACCTCAGTTTGATGAAGGCAGTACTCTTGTTCATCCTTGAATGCCCTCTTGGTCAAGCTTTTCCAAGATACTTCAGTCTTGCTCACTTTTGGATCTCCCATCAGACATCTCAACTGACCATCTTGGACCCATTTCAAAGACAGGTTATGGAAATTGAATTCCACATTTCCCAACCCTGCTAGCCAATCCATTCCCAAAACCATCTCAGTGTCTCCCAACTCCAAAATGTAGAAATCTTGAGTTATAACTAGCTGCTGCAACTTCACAGTGACGGCTTCACACCTTCCATTGTTTCTAATGAGGTCCCCATTCCCTATTTCCACTTTAAACTCAGGAATTTGAATAATAGGGATTCCCACTTCCTTTACCACTCTGGGAGATAGGAAATTGTGAGTGGCCCCACAATCTATAAGGATTACTATCTCCTTACTTCCTCTGAGTCCCTGCACTTCTCCCTTGACCTTGAAAGTCCTGGGAGTGGTCATCCCCTCTTTGCTCATCAATGATAGCTGCATGGTTGAAGGTTCAGGTCCTTCCTCTTCAGGTATGGGTGCCAAATAATTGTCTCCTGCCTCCTCTTCCCCCTCAGAATCATCTATCATCACAATTTGGAAATGCTTCATCTTACAGATGTGTCCCTTGCCCCAAGTCTCCCCACATTTGAAACAAAGGCCTTTTCTGCTTAATTCCTGAAGCTCAGCTTGAGATAGCCTGTGAGTGCCTCTTACTCCCACTCCACTGTTTCCAGTCTCATTTTTCTTTTCTGCATGATATTTCTCAAACCCTGGTTGACTGGTCACTGTACTCTTCCATTTGCTCTCACTCAACCACCTTTGAGGTGGATTGGTAACAGTCCCCTTGTTTCCTCTCCTATCATCTTCCCTGTGCCTGCTGGAACAGAGGATAGCATTACTCTCTTCTACCCTCGAAGCCTTATTCATGACTTCTGTCAGTGTTCTAACAGGATTCTTCTTCAATTCAGCTTTAACCTCAGGCTTCAATCCTTTCATAAAAATCCCCTTAAGCATTTGCACGTCAGTGTTTTTCAAAGGTGCTGACACCAATTCAAACTCATCTCTGTACTCCATCACACTTCCAGTCTGCCTGAGATTTAATAATGGACCATATGGATCCTGATCCAATCCTGGTTCAAATCTCTCCAACAGAGCCCCTTTAAACAATTCCCAGGTTCTGACATTCGAGTGCTCCTCCCACCAGTGATACCAGTTTAAAGCCCTTCCCTCCATGGCCAGAGTTACTAGATCAACCTTCTCCTCCTCATCAATTTGATTCAATTTAAAAAAACGCTCCACCTTAATAGTCCAACCATATGCATCAGTGCCATTAAATAAAGGTAAATCAACTTTTCTTCCAGATTTCTCCATCCAACTACGTCGGTTATCAATCGGTTTGGAGGAAGGGGATCGATGACTACCTGAGATTGAACGTGAGTCACTGCTTCCATGTCTAGTACTCGCCTTAGAGTGCGATGATCGTTCGCGGGAATGATGGCGATGTTTATGTCTCAGCAGCTCGCGAATGTCATCGAGGTCACTTTTGACTTCCTCGCTCCTCCTCCTGGCTTCCTCGCGAGCCTCCTCATCCCTTAGCCTGGCCTCTTCGCGGTGCCTTGCCAGCTCGCGCTCAATCTCTGCAGATTGTCGCGCCAATTCTCGCTCCAAGTTTTCCACTCGGTCATTCATTTTTCTTCTCGCCGCCACCATAAACAGGTCCTCTGATCGTCAGCTCTGATACCAATGATAGGAAATCAGACCTGCGAACAATAATCTAGCAGCAGAATTGGAGAAAAAGGGACAATGAACAGTAATGGAGGAAGATCGTATAACAAACAAGAGAGAGAAATAGTGTCTGGCAGTTTTAAGAGATGCCTCTCTCCAAGTCCCAGCCCAATACAAGCCAATACCAGCCTGCCAATTATTACAAGGACCTAGCTATTTATAGTAATATTCCCCCCATCCGATAACTAGTAACATATAGCTACTTATTATGACCCTTATTCCTCCTTGAGTATACATGATCAAAATACTTAATATTATTATCAAAATAGGACTGGCTCCCAGCATCCCTATCAGGAAATAACAATAGTAGTTTGATTAGGAGACTAATAATAAATTGTAATAAATAATCTTGCCGCTCAAGTTAGCCACTTTTAGTCTCCAGGGTCACAGGTTCTGCTTGGGCCTCACTTGCACTGTTTGTGCCTCTGTGGTCCAATCGCTGTCGCTGATAGGCACGACCCCAGAACGCATCCATATCATTAGCATGTTCAAGTATGCACTTCATATGAGAGTAAAATTTATTCCAAATTGCACATTTGGGACCACATTGAGCCTAAAAAAGTCCAAGGACCAGATTACAATGCTGTATAATTGATGGACTGGAACGGGTATTAACACTCTTTTCAATTAGATACATTAAGGGCAGGGCACCAAGGCGCTCTCCTGGCATCCAACGGGTGACTCTGATGCCTTCAGAAAAACTCTACTAGACCCCTAAGTGTGACAGCAACCATGTGGAAAGTCTATGAGGTCATATGTCCTTGTTATTTTGATGAAGTAAATTTATGGGATAAAATAGACTTTTTATGTGGCTGGGGTCACAGTTGTAGGCTTAGTAAAGTTACTCGTTTCTCAACCATGACTCTATCCTTTTCATAATTAGTGAATTTTTAAATGCATTAAGCACAAATTTCATCAAAGGTCACTGTAAATAATGTGATATCTCATATCTATACTCTTACTTAGAGCTCTTGATTTCTAGATACATAAGTGCATGTGCAGTAGGGAGGGGGGGTGGACCCCAAGTTTGGTAAATACCTTTGTATTTTGCGTAAAAAATACACTAATGAATTTTCTTCCGGCTCACCCTGTGGGCGGTTTATTGCATCCTGTAATTGATCTATCAGACCTCACCTTTCAAATTGCATATGTGTGTGTGTGTATGGATGGATGGTGTAAAACAGGTAGCTGGTGTGAGCATGCAAAGTGTCCTGGTTGATGAAGACCTTAAAGGTTATGCTTTTGTGTAAACAGGTAACTGGTGTGAGCATGCAAAGTGTCCTGGTTGGCGAAGACCTTAATGGTTGTGCTTTTGTGTATGGATCGTTGAGCTTCATGGACAAAATGTCATGTGGGGTGGCACTGTTCGTTCTTGAGTCATTACAGAGTAGGTTTCTGTCATCAATCTTTTCCCTTTTAACCTTTTTTCCCTTATTTTTTAATGTGTTACCGTTTGTGTAAAATTTTGCAGACTCGACACCAGCTCTTGGAAGCTATAATCATGCTTACACTAGTTTCTCCATAACACGGTATGGTGTCGGTCTTGTTCCTGCAATTTGTGCACTTGCTGGTGTGATTGTCACCTGCTCCATGAAACTCCATACACCGCAATTAAAGCCCTTAGCTGAACCCCTTTTAGCCTAACACACACAGACTGACACTAGAAAAGAATACAGGTTGTCGCTGTAGATAGAAATTATACAGGTTAAGTTTTTGTGCCTTACCAGGTCTACTGGAAGGACCACTGCCCACATAGGGGAATAGGAAATTACTGTATCACTATTCTTACAAACTCCGATTACTTCATACAGGGAAAAAACTCTGATTACCTCACATTATATTTGCCCTCAAAAGTGTTCATATTTTATCTGATCTTGTTAGTTTGTTCATGAGATCAAGTGTTGTTTCTTCACTTATTCTTTTCAATTGTTTTTTTAATTAAGTTCTGCTTATTTATTCCGCATGTAAGTTGAATGCTTGCTCTACTCGTCTGTAGACCTTGCGGGTCACAAGTCTACCCAATCCTATTACAAATTGAGTTACTCAATGGTTTTAGCGTCTCGATGACTTTAGAAGCACATAGTTTGTCAAAGATTAAGCAATATGTGTTTGGTGGGGGCATGAAAAATGATGAAGTCGGTATCGAATAGGCATGGATCTGGTCTGGTAGTCCAACCTCGTCCGGAACCGGGTCCGGCGTTATTTGGCTAACTTTCTTTTTTGAAAAATGATGAAGTCGGAACGAAACATAGTGTTTCAAATCCGGATTTGCTAACTTTCTTTTTTGTTCCAAATTCGATCCGCAATCCCGATAAGTCTGAAATCATTGTTCTAGATTCGGACCCAACGAGTTTCGGATTTGGGTCGGGTAGACCTGTCTAATATGAAGTGAACAATATTGCAAATTTTCTATAAAAGTATAGACCTATATTTGAATTGATTCATTTAGGAAGGTTAAAAAGTATAAAGGGATTGAAAAGATAGAAATAATGAGATGTTTTTAATTGGACTGGTTTCGGTCTCAAATTAGATCACATGAAACTTAAACAAATCGGATCAGAACAAACCAGTGCAGATCAGACTATACTAGACTTTAACACTTGTAAAAAGAGACATAAAGCATACATCTATCATATGATTCATACTAGACTTAGACGGGTTTGATTTGATCAGAGGAGATCCAAGCCTTATTCCCAAAAGATTTTGGGGTTGACTAACATTAATTGATCCATGATATCAGCGTCAAATAGAGAAGAAAGATAAGGAAAATAAAAAGGATAAGTAAGATAAGATGGATAAGATAAAAATAACATAAGAACATAAGATAGATAAAATATAAAAAAGATAAAGGAAGAGAAGAGATCAATCGTCCACATGTTTATGCGTCCTCCACTTTGCTCTCTCTAAAGTCTGTTTGTGTCTTCCCTTCTTCCTCCTACTTGCCTCCTCTCCCCACCCCTCGACTCGTATACCAATTGTTTCACTCGGTCTTCTGTGTAAATGACCAAATCACCGCTATCGAGACTCTTGCATCTTATCTTCTATAGGTGTTACTTCCACCTTTTTATGATTATCTCATTCCTCAAGCAGTCTTTTCTGGTATGTCCACACATACAACGCAACATACGCATCTTTGTCACACTCATCTTTTGAATGTGACATTGTTTCACCACCCAACACTGTATGTCATACATTAATGCAAACCTAATTGTTGTTCAATAAAATTTATATTTGAGTCTAATCGACATACCTTGATCGCACAGGAATCCTGATGTACTCTTCCATTTCATTCACCCAACTCTCATTCTATGAGATACATCTCCATCTAATTCACCATCCTTCTAAATTATGGAACCCAAGTAACGGAACATATCACACACTTATATCGCCTTTTCATCAAGGGTAATCCCACCGTTACTACTACTTCAACCTCCACCAAACTTGCACTCAATATACACAGTCTTGCTTCAATTCAGTCTGGAACCATTGGTCTCCAAAGTATCCTAAAGAGTAAGGACTTGTTTATTCATGAAGATACATGGTCTTTAGAGTATCTTAAGTAAAACCGGATGAAACCAGAACAAATTAATGAAATCAGACCAGGTTTAAAGAGATTAGAATATTTTAGAACTTATTTAAGTAGTGGAATAGATGGGGATTCAACTATTAATCTCGCTCTTTTTGCGGTGGACTATTCTGTGCCTCATCAGGGAGTGAGGGGGTCAGTGTGGACTTTTAGGAGTTTAGAGGGGTGATATGGATTTTTGTTGTTGTTGGATAGATGGGTTTTTCAATATGAATATAAGTTTTCTTTTGTTAAAATAAAAGATGAGAATCAACTTACATTTGGTCCCATTATTTTCTCACATCTTTTTTTTATCCATCCAACTAACTGTGCTCGATGTAATATTTAATAATATTTGTGCTTAAAATTTATTAAAACTATTCATAATTACAAATATTCTAGCTACACACCTTGTGATTCGATGACATCACTATGATACTTTTAAGGAGGATGACATTGGTTTGAAACTCATCCAGTCATGGATGGATGTTGACATTAACATAACAGATACTATAAGAAATGAGAAAGTATAACAAAAAAAAGTACAAATAAATGTACAAATGAATCCAAGTAGACAGAGGAGGTGGTATACAATAAATGACCTTTGGCTAATTGAACCGAATGAAGTAGTTCAAAAAGACAATTTTAGTTTTTCCATATAACTTATCTTAATTTTATTAGTGCAATATATTTTGAATGTTTTCTAATATTTCAACAAATTTAGCTAGTTGGGCCATAACTTCACTAATTTTAGCAGATTTAACCAATTTGATGTTTCCAAATAGGCTCAAAGTATACATAATGACAAGCCATAATAAAACTGATTAGTTCAACTAGATTTAAATGGACCAGTTCAAATCATACTAGGCAAAAATAAATCAGGCCAAATTAACTAAAAGCGATAATTACACATTTGAGCTACTTTTGTCTATTCTATTTCATTTATATCACTTAGCTTTTATTTTTTTCAACTTTAGAGTTTTACCTTTTCATTTTTATACTCCTTATTTCGTTTTTATACTCCGTGTTAAAATCTGGATAAGTTGATAAATAAGCTAATAATTATTTTGTTTTTTATAGAAAGCTGGTTAATTGTGCGTGCTCAATTCAAGACACATTGTCATGGTTGAGATTGAGCAGTTAATTGGTTAGTTCCCTGAATCTGAAAAGCGCATATATTAATGTTATTCTATAATTCCTTAACTTCATTTCTCAAAGTGTTTGACAATGTATAATCTCTTCTACTAATTTTCTCTGGTTATTTCAGATACGTAGTACATATTATCTTGGTTAATGTATGTGATGGAGTATATTCCCATATATCCCAGGAGTATCACAATCGTCGGCATAAAGCATCACGGACCCATTCCGTAGAGCATAAAAAGACTAAGTCCACAACTGGAATCGACCCCGACCAACCAGGGTCGGGAACAAGCGCCAAGCAGCAAAATAACTAAGGACCAAGGGGTCATCCGACCCCGACCTCGGCTTCCGAGGTCGGGAAATGCCAGGCTCAGGAATCAACCAAACTCGGAGGGTTATGAGCCCGACCTCGAATGCACCGAGCTCGGCACCAGACTCGACCTCGGGCATCAGCATAGAGTCAGTCGGTATCAGCACCAGGCAGTCAACAGTCTCGAAGACAGAACCAGAGACAGAAGGAGAATTCCCCCACATAAGAGCCTGAGTCTCCAAATATTGGCCTCAGTAAGCTCGAGGTTTGACTAAAGCACTATGGACTTAGACAAATCCGCAAGGACCAACATCACAAGGAGGCACTACCACGTCACTCCCAGCAACGGATAATATTTCAGATTTCCCACGCATAACCACACATGTATTCGGTTAACAGTCTGTTAGGAGCAACTCCAATCAGCCAACTGTCCAAGACTATCTCTCCAATCACCTTTACACGTGGCTGCTTCTCATCGACTTAGACTCTTAGTTTGTTAGAATAGATTGGACACATGTCCTCTTCTTATTAGATCAGCATCTTTTTACTTGGGCACCAAGTATTGCCTATTTTAGTATAAATATCACCTTCCAGCTTGTGGAAAGGGATCGCAATTTTAACTCTCATACTGCTATTCTGCTGAATTATCTGCATGTACTTTCTGATCAGTTCTCTCTCGTTTTACTTGAGTTCTGACTTCTGACCACTCCCTGGTCCGGCGATCCATCATTTTTTGTGCTCTCATTGAGAGTTGAACTGTGAATCAGGTCAGATCCTCACACTTTTTCCTAAATCTACAGTATGTTTTCCTCCTTGATAATGACTGGAAAGAGAATTGCGAGAAACAGACGTGTTGTTGTCGCCGTCGCCCAAACTGAACCCCTGCTAGAAGCAACTGCTACTTCCGGCACCAGGAGGGTCGCTAGGGGAAAGCAAGCCGCTGAGACTTCTGCTGATCTGCGTAGCCAGATCCAGCATACTTCCCTAGATCTCCGTCAACAAATCTCATTGAATCATGATGCAGCGGCAATGCCGCCCGCTCAGGTGATCCCACAATTCCAGAATCTTCTGATGGTGGATCCCTCTGTGGCGGTTGGCACCCTCATCTCAGGATTGGAGCAGGTACTCCCGGCGCTGCAATCCCAGGCAACAACTAATGTGGCTCCTCACGCCACCAGGACCATCTCGCCGGTGAATTCCAGATCCCGGTCTCTGAGAGTAGGCACTATTGATGCCCCTCTGGTCGTGGAGAGACCAGCGCAGATGGTCTATCAATCTCCCCTCGCCAGAGGGCAACTCCGGGGATCAACTCTCCCCCGATTCGCCAAGTGGCTTTTCGAGCCCCTGTGAGCACTGTGCCTCTGGCATAGCAGGTGGGAACTTCCCGTCCCACTGTGGCACAACAGAGGATGGCCCCACCGCAACCTCCCACATTGCCGTCAAAATACACGGCACGCCGCGTTGACTACGGCTGCCACAATGATGAAGGCGTTTACGCCATCACCACCGAGGACTCCTCACAATCCTTCTCCCCACAGGGACAACAGCAGGATGATAACCCCGATCCCTGGGTGGAAGTGGGAAGGCGTCCCATCTTCTCCAGATTTGGGGACAGATCTACGGCGAATCAGCGCCTGTCTGTCAACATCCGGGGGATCAACCGGGCGAATTCCCCAGTTCTCAACATCCCCCGGCAACAACAACCGCTACAGCCTGGGAGAAGGACTCCAGAGCGTGTGCCCGCTTGGGAGAGGCTAGGGGGCAATCATTCCCCTAGATTCGCCCCCCCCCCCCACGCCACTAGCAAATGTCTTCTCCCCCCAAGGCAGCAACATGCTTCTCCATCGCGCCAACAACAACAACAACCCCTGCGCCAGCCAAGGCTC